GTGATATTAGTCACTATATGCCAAAGTATTAATCTGGGTAGTACAGGCTATGTCAGTGTGAGCTTCCTAGTGGAGGTAGGATTTAGTCTAGGACTTTAAGGATTGGTATAATTGAGGAAGTAGAGAGGAAACAGAAAAGCATTTCAAGGAGGGTGAACCACCAAAGTAGAGGCATGGAGATGGAAGTAATACTACTACTAACAACTTGTCTTTGAATAGCTCTTTGCAGGACTTTGCAATCTCCTTCATGAGGGTGGGGCCATGACTGTTCCATTCACTCGGGCATGTCCAGTGTTCACCAAAGTGCCTGGCATGTAGTCAGTGCTTAATAAATATGTTTAAATAAAATTAAGAAATTAATGCAATCCCTACAATGTCCCTGTAAATTAGTAGGATAGAATTTAAATGATCAAGGTGAGGGTTAAAAGACAATTAGATGACCAACCTGATGCCTTCAGCAAGATTTCTACAGAAACTAGTGGTAAATTATAATTAGAGGGATAGATTACAGAGAGTTTGCTCAGTTTAGGTTTGATGTGGTACGTAGGAAAGTATAAGGTGTCACTGAGAGGTCTTGAACAGAGGGAGGTGAAAAGATGAAAACAGTGTTTTACAAAATTTATGAGTGATTGAATAGGGGCTGGACTGGAAGCAGGGGGGCCAGCTAAGAGGCTGTTACAATGATATAGCCACTCATTTACTTGTTCGACAAACATTTATCGAAACCATAGTACATATCTGGCGCTAAACTCCATGCTAATAAAGGATAGCAAGATGTGTAAGTTGTGAACCTTGCCATTGAGGGGTTTATAGTCTGAGAGGAGAGCTAAGGCAAACGTGCAAATAATTATAACTCAATGGAGATAGTTAAAAAAAGAGGCACAGGTAGACACTATGGAGTTCAGGGGAAGATAAGATCTGCTTTGGCTGGGGCATCAGGAAGGGCTAAAGCAGCAGTCTAATGCAGCACTTCTACCTGCCTCTGCCTCCCTGCCCCCTGCCTCCTCTCTATCAGGGTACCTTGCTTGATCACTTGAAATTATCTTGTTTATTTATTGTTGTACTTGTTTGTTGTTTGCTCTCCCATCCCTCATTAGAATACAAGCTCCAAGATGAATTGTTTTGGTCACTGGTATATCCCTAATATCTCACCAAGTATCTGGCACTAACATGGATTTTAAAAAAAATTTAGAATGAATCAATAATGTGGCATTGGAGTTAGATCGCATCGGATGGGCAGGATTTGGACATTCAGTAAAAGGGGAGGGAGAGACAGTATTTTAGGTGGAGGTTATGTGACATCCTATAGGGACTGGAGAATGAAAGATGAATCTGGCATGTGGGCTTAAGAAAAACACTCGAGATAATATGGTGGATTAGATAAGATCAATAAAAGACAAGGCAAATGATGATTCCAAAGTTTGTGCCTTTTGAAACCCGATAGAATGGGGATTGAGAGAATGGCAGAAGGAAGGAAACTGAGGAGACAAGCCAGTTTATTGGGGAGTTGACAATCTCAGGGGTGATGTCTGTGGGCATTTGTAGTGATTGAAGTGCACAACTTGAACAAGGTGAACTGAGATTCATCAGTGTAGAAGAGACAATAGTAACTCGGACTAGGGATGGGTTCCCAAAGGGAGAAAGTCCACAAAAAGAAGAGCCTTGGAAAAGGACCACAGTCTTGAGAGCTGGATGAGAAGGATTCACAGTGAAGGTGGGGAAAGACCAGTGAAAGGAGCTTCTCAGGAGGGGAGGCCACCAGTATCTGGTTCCACAAAGAGGTCCAGCATAGTGGAGGACAGAGGTCTTTAGGCTTGTCGGATGGAGGACAATGCTACCTTCAAAGGAAGGAGTTTTAAAGGATGATGGCAATAAAAAAAAAAAAATAAAAATTGTCCTGCATTAGGGACAGAATGGTGGGCAGAAAGAAGGAGAGAAAATTTGGATGGTTACTACAATACCAAGAGAACATTTAAAAATTGTTGTTATTATTTATTTTTTGATTTTTTTCAATTAAGAAAATAAAATATGCTTGGTACAGAAAGAGTTGAAAATATAGAAAGCTAGAAAGAAGAAAAAAGTCACTTATAATTCTATATTCAAGAGGTAAACATTGTAGATATTTAGATGTATTTGTTGTCATTATCTTTTCTACTTATATATATTTTGAATATGGCTGGTATCATGCCATAAGCACAGAATAGTATCATGTTTTCTCACATAAGGAGTTTTCCATATGATTGCAGAGGCTTTATAATGTACATTTTAGGGACTACCTAATAGCTTTGAAGGGTATGTTTGATAATTTTTATAACCTACTCCTCTGTTATTAGAAATTTGATTTCCTTTACTTTTTATTATTATAAGTATGGTGTTGTGAACGTCTTTGTGAAAAACTGTTTTTCTATTTTAGATTACAGTATTTATTGTTTTTCTAACTGCAAATGTATCACATCTTCACTATAGATGAAGATGGAAAATGAAGAAAATCTCAAAACAAAAAGTAAATGTCATTTATAGTTGCTCTACCTACAGATAACTACTGTTGAGATTTTGGTCTCATATTCCGCCTGTTTATCTATCTATTAATCTTCAAATGAGGTTTAGCACCATGGCTCATGCCTGTAATCCTAGCACTTTGGGAGGCCAAAGCAGGAGGGTTGCTGGAGGCCAGGAGTTTGAGAACATCCTGAGCAAAAGGGAGACCCCGTCTCTATGAAAAATAGAAAACTTAGCCAAAAGTGAGCGCCTGTAGTTCCAGCTACTCGGAAGGCTGAGGCAGGAGGATCACTTGAGCCCAGGAGTTTGAGGTTGCTGTGAGCTCTGATGATGCCACTGTGCCTAGCCTGGGCAACAGAATGAGACCCTGTCTCAAAAAAAAAAAAAAAAGGCTGGGCAAGGTGGCTCACACCTGTAATCCTAGCATTCTAGGAGGCCAAGGCGGGAGGATCGAAATATATAGAAAAAATTGGCCAGGTATGGTGGCGCATGCCTGTAGTCCCAGCTACTCGGGAGGCTGAGGCAGAAGGATTGCTTGAGCCTAGGAATTTGAGGTTGCTGTGAGCTAGGCTGACGCCACGGCACTCTACCAGGCAACAGAGGAGACTCTGTGTCAAACAAACAAAAACTTTAAATGGGATTATACTCTACCATTTTATAATCATTTGAAGCTTAGTATTTCATGAATCCTTCTTCGTTTAACTAAATAATTTCCTACCTCATAATTTCTAATGGGTTTTGGCATTCCACAGTATCTAGTAACTGTAATTTAGCTAACCATTCTCTTAATGATGGACATTCAGGTTATTTCTGGTTTTTGCTATTTTTAACATGCTAAGACTATCTTTGGAGATGAATCTTTATGCAAATATATGATTATTTCCTTATAATACTATCTGAAAAGTATTTTAAATATTTTTTATGCACATTGTCAAATTGCCTTCCAGGAAGATTATACTAATTTATACTCCTACCGGCTGTATTTGAGAGTTCCTATTTGCCTACACTCTTAACCTATGTGGTTATTAAAAGCAAACAAACAACCTTTACTAATTTGGTAAGTGAAAAAGCTATTTGTAATTGCATTTCCTTCAAGCCTAGTGAGGATTTTGTATGTTTATTGGCCATCTGTCTAGCTTCTTTTGTGAGTTTATTTTTCATGAACTTTGTCATTTTTATGGACCCAGGTATATATTGCCAAATTGTTTGCCAAAAGGGTTGATTAGTTTATGCGATAGTATATATTTTTCTCTTTTGCGAATTGTCTCATGTCTCTTGCTCATCTAAGAGAATATTTTTTCAGATAGAGTTATTTATTCATGTCCGAAGGCGGAATGAGAAGAGCTGATAATGTTGGAGGGGAAGGGTATATACTTGGATTTTAGGCTCTGGAAAATGTGTAAATAGAAGTGGAAGAATGTTGAGCCTCCAACGCAGAATGTAATGGGAGAGGGGGTATTGGGCTGCTGTTCAGCTTCAGGAAATGTATCATAACTATTTTATTCCTTTCCTGGGTCATTACTAAGCTCTGAGAGCATTATACTTATAGTCTTTTGAAAAAACACGAACAACTGAAGTTTTTGTTTTTGATCAATGTCTTCAAGGCAAGATGGAGAATGAAGGAAAAAAAATGAACCAACAAAGAAATTAATCATCAGATTATTTAATTATCAATATAGCAAACAATATGGGTAAATGTTTAGTAGACTCACTGGATGGTTGATTACAAGAGCTTATGGAATGAAGCATACTTTACATTTGTGTTTTCTCTCTCATAATTATTCTGATTGCTTATTTGATCCAGAAGCTGTGAAAAGTTTGTGTAAGGAGTGGGATTTAATAAAAGATTGTTGAATGAATAAATGAATGAATGAATCTGTGGCATAGATTCAACTGTACCTAGACATGTGCAAAGAATCATAAATTTATTTTAATCAGGTGCTAGAAAATCATAATTATTTTAAATTGTGATATCTGAAATTATTTTGATGGATAAAATTTTAGGATGGACTTGAAATACTTCTAGGAAATCTCATGAAGCAGAATAATCTGTATCTATAAATTAATATTTTATGATTATAAGATAATATTGCAGAGTCTTATAACTTCTATTGTTACATTTTAAAAAGCCAATGAATCGGTTGAAAAAATTGATACTTGTTAAGGATATGGAAGGGATTTTTCTATTTTTAATGACAGGTAAATTGAAATAAATTGTCTCAAGAGAAAGTTCATTTTGGTACTTGGAAGTAGCATCATACGGTAGGATCTTTACCTATTGTATTCGTTTGTTCAGAAACTTTCTGTTTCTTTGGTGGTGGCTCCCACTGCTGAATACTTTATTATTTGCTCTTGTAGAAATTTCGGAAGTGAATATAAAAGATTATTAATCTACATCTGAATGTGCACATGTGAGTGTTGAGGGTGATTGAGAGAGAGGTCTGGGGCATATTGGGATGTATGATGATTCTTGTGACTTCTCCTGTGATAAGGATAATGATTCATTGCTTTGTGGTGCTTGCCTCCCTTTGGGGTACTGGGTCCTGTCTCTGAGGGTGACCCTGCTTATCTTCCAAGGCCTAGGGAACTGATGTTTGCTGTGCACCAGCAGGGGCCTCTTTAGGCAGAAGGTTCCTGCTGTACTGTTGTGATGCTTGGCTGTGGTTGAAAAAGACAGGACAATCTGAGGTCTCACCAGTGACAGAGGCCCTTGACTGGTCATTGCAAATCTCCGGGCCCGATGCTCGGGCTGTCTGAGCTTGATTTTGATCCTTCTCTTGGGTTATATTTGTTTGCTGCAGTACCTTCTCCTGTAGGTAATGGTACAGTAGAGTAGAATGAACTGCACTCCTCTCCACAGAACAGGGATCTTGGTCTTTCTGCATCCTCTTCAAGACTTGACTGGGGGACTGAAGAACTGTACTCTTTTTTGACTGGAATTTGTTGGTCATCACCTTCTTCTGCCAGCTCTTGGAGACTTTCATCCTTCTCCTCCAACGTTACAGGTTCCTCCAGTCCAAAGTGTGTCTTGGGGGAGGCTGAATTGTCCTCATCCACACTTTTTAACAGAGCATCCTGGGCCTCTGGAGCTTCACCTTCCTCATCTTTGGTACTTGGGCTCTGGCCATGTAACTTGTTTTTGCTGTCTCCCTTCTCAGGGAACTGCACTTGGGAAAGCTGCTCAGGGAAGTCTGCATCCAGGGCACCTGGGATCTCTGTCATCGGGGACTTTCTATTTTCGCCTCCTACTCTAGACTCCTGTGCCTCTGGGTGTCCATCGGGCTCCACAGCTGCACCTGGGCCTTTGGTCCCTGAGCCTTGACTCTTGTGTTCTACTTTGGCAGGCTGTTCCTGTTCCTCTGTGAGCTGCACATCCTCTCCTCTGAGTGCCAGCACCACTGCCTCCTGAGCTCTGTTTCTCTTACCTGGTGCTCCCTGTTTCTGGATATCTGGGTTGTTGTGACCTCCTTGTGCAGACTCTCCATGCAGGTCTACCTGACTCTGGGAATCCCCTTGTATAGGCAGTTCTCCTGTCTCTGAGCTGTTGTTACTTTTCTCTGGAGCCAGGCTGTTGGGAGTTTCGGAAGACTCCTCATCATTCTGTGTGACTGGCGACTCAGGATTCTCCCTCTGGTAACAATCGTCTTCCTTGATTGGCCTATCATGAGTGTTGGTGACCGTACTGTTTCCTCCTTCAGACTGGTTCTCAAGTGGTGCCGACTCTTGTGTTCTTTCTCTTGCTCCTGGTGTTCCTTCTGCTGCAGGACCATTTTTCCTGTTCAAAAATGCTTCTGCTGTACCTTCCTCGGTGAGTCTTGCCTCTTCTCCTGGGTCTTCTGCTCCTTCAATTTCAGGGTGACTCTGTTCTCCTCCTTCTGAGCTTAGATCTTGTGTCTCAGAACCTTTTTCAGCATCTTTTCCTTTTGATGATCCTTGGAGTTCCTGATACTTCCCATCTTGTGTTTGGGATTCCAGGGCTGGTGGCTGAGTTTTTCTGTCACTTTCTTTCTGCCCTGCTGTTCCATGAGCCTCAGGGCCATTCCCCTCTTTCCTTTCAGCTCTCATGTCAGGTGTTTCTGAAACATTTCTGCTACCACCATGGACTGTCAGGTCCTTTGTTTCGTGTTCTTTTTTGTGTGCTGATGATTCTTGAGTCTCAGATATCCTACCATAGTCCTCAGGTTCATCTGGACTCTTTGTCTCAGGTGGTGTCCTGTCGGCATCCTTTCCTGGTTCTTGACTCTCAAATGTTCTACTACCATTATCATCCTCAGGGTCCGTTGATTTCTGTGTCTGAGATGGTTTCCTGGCAGCAGCTTTTTCTGGCAGGCCAGCATGCTCTGAACTGGATTCCTCTTCTTGCAGGGCTGGTTCTTGTGTTTTAGAATATTTCTTAATACCCTTTTCTGCTCTAACTTCATGATCTTCATATGGTCTGTGTGTTGCTTCTTCTGGTGGAGAACTTTGGGTTCCCAAGTTTCCTTCCTGTTCTCCAAACTGATCTCTTGTCTTTGTGCCACCTTGCTCCCTGGCTGGTTCATCTCCCTCCCTAGGGATCTCCTTATCCTGTGCCTCTCCCTCTGTGGCACTGCTGGTTTGTTTTGATACTGCCATTGGCTTATTTGTCTTAAGTTGGGCTCCATTGTCTTCTGTTGCTGCTACATCTTGGGCCACTTCTGGGCTCTGTTCATCTCCTTCCAAGTGTTGGTTCTTAGGGTCATTGTGCTCAGATGCTTCTCCTTGCAGGTTGTGAGTCTTGGCATCTCCTTGTGGGTCTACCCTATTGTGTCCAACAGCTCCATTTTCTTCAGGGCTGAGCTGATATGACGACGCCATTCCTGAAGGAAGCATCAACTTTTCTTGAGTTGGCAAAATTCCTACTGTCTCCTGGCCATTTCTGGTGGTCTCCTGAAGATATACATCACCTGGCTTCTCCTTCTCTGGCTTAGATATCTGTTTTAGTTTTAAACTTAATAATGATTGTATGTCAAGATAACAGAGGTTGAACAAGTTGAAGACTGCAAGAACAAATTCATCAAAACTGGTGGCACCTTCAGCGTCAATATCCAGAAGATTCAAATTTCTCTCCACAGCATGAAGGACATATGGCTGCATGAAAACACAATGAGAAATCAGTTTATTCATATGTGGCCAACTGTCCTGAGATCCTGAATGTCTCCCAGAAATCCTTTCTTTCTTTCTTTTTTTTTTTTTACTGCATTCCTCAGGAACTTGTTGTATTTCCCAAAACAGTAAGAATTCATTGGCTTGGATGCCATTTTCATCAGAGAGCTGTGACTGAGAAGGAACATTTATATCACTTGTGAGTTGCATTTAGATGCATAATGATTTGTGACTTCTTTCAGAAGTCTACTTTATGAGAGCAATAGTCCCAGTGATGAAAACCTCATTTTCTCTGTAAGATTTACTAACCAACTGCACAGATTAAGGAACTGAAACTGAAAAAAGTTGTTGAAGAGTCAGTGAGTTCTGAGTGCTGGCAGCCCAGCGTAAAATGGTTAGGGGTCACTGATGCTCATCTTGCATGATTATGGAGAAAGGGCAGATGGGGAAGAATTTCCACAGCCCTGTGAGACCTCACCTGAAGAAAGTCCCCAAACTCGCCCTGGAGGAGCTGTCTCAGCTCTCTGCGGGTCAGTGTTGCCCCATCACCGTCCTCACCAGAATACTTGTGGAACGTCTCAATTACACAGAGGACATCTCTCAGGAGCCGAGGCATCTTTATGAACTTGGGAGAGACTGTGAAAAAGAACAAACAAAGCTCATTTCCCCGATGGGTCCTTCAGGAAGGAGATACCAAGATCATCCTTTTTATTCTTCCCCCAGGTCCATTCACATCCCTTGCTCTATTCTGTATCTCAAAATATTGTGTCTGAACTGCAGGGGTGACTTAGTTTTGCACCAGACATTGTGGTGAGATCAGATCTAGCTCAGGTAGGTATTAGAAAAGGCACTTCACTCCACCTTGCAGTAAACAGCAACACTCGTGTGATGAGAAAAAGCTTCATTGCAAAAGGAGAGTGAAAGAACTCAAGCATAAGTATAAAATGCACAAATGAAGCCAACAGAGTGAGATCAGTTCTTCCAGCCTCTTCTGAGAGTGTCCACCTGCTTTCTTCTCCCATTTGCTTAGTCCAGCGTCCTCTGCTTAGGAAAGTATAACTCTTAAAGTTAGTAAAACTTCTAGAGGGAAGAGAAGTAACACCAAGAAAATCAACATCTGTTTGCAGGTGGAAGCAACATGTTTTTACCAAGACGACATGGTTCCGTGTAAACTCACTGGTAAGACAAATAGAGCCCTGACCCCTTAGTCATTACCCATCATTTCAATGACTTTATATTTTCCTTTTAATATAGACCTGAGTCCCATGCCTTGTTAAATAGTATTCATGCCTATGTCATCCGGTTTATGTTTTTTAAAAAAGAAAATGATCAAAGAGGTTCCGTAAGCAAGGACTGCATTTGGGTGGCTGGAGCTCCCATCTTATTATTAATGGGGGCCAACTTAGACTATGTTTCCTCTGAAATTCTCTCAATCTCACATACAAGCAAAGCAGCAGCCAAGATTCTAAGTACACTCAAACCGATAGGCTTACCTTGTTCACGAGTGAGAGCAGGCAGAATGTGGAGCAGCGGGCTGTGAGCCGACAGCCGGCACTGGAACCTTTTATTGCGTCCCTAATTGCACAGTGAAGAAGGAGACACCCTCCGGGTCTAATGACCTGATTCATCACCACCAAACACAGTCTCCCCTCCTTCTCTGCTGTCAGCTTGTCTTATTTTTATTTCTTTCTTTAGGCAGTTTCAGTTAAGTCTTGGCTTCAGACACATCCAAAGGAAGGGGATGAGGTTTCCTATTTCATTTACTGACTTTTGCAGGATATAGTTTTGAGGGATCTTCAGGGTGGTGTTGGCTCCCCTTCCCTCCCCTCTTTTTAACCTAAGGACACAATTACATTTCTGTTTGACAAATCATAGGGCTGACAGGGACCTCAAAAGTCACCTGATTCCTTTGTCTGCCTGCAGGATGGCCTATATTTGACCCAACCCTGAGAGGTGGGTGTCAATCCTGTGTTTAAAAATAAGGGCCTCATTTAGCCATGTGACAAAAGTGGAGACACCAGTTGATTCAGTTGTGTCAATGCTCTGCTCTCCTTGCCCAGAGGCAGAGTTATGAAAAAAAAAAAAAAAATCTTTGCTGGCTGTGCAGAATCTTGCTTACCTAAGATGTACTATTTTTAAAATGTGATTGATATCTGCTTTTTAAAGATGTTTTTATAATCCAAGGAGTTAGAAATATTACTGTGTTCTCTGTGTAAAGGGGAGAGGGAGACGTGGATACAATCAAGCTGAGAGGGTGGAAGTGAGTCTGAGATGCTGAACTGGCAAACGTTTTTATTACCTGTTAGACCTGGGTCCTTTTTAGTAGAGAATATTTAATTAACAGGAGAATTATATTCAGTTGTTTTCTTAGGTATTTAAAAAGAGAATAGAGCATGTGTTAAAACATCCTGCCTCCTTTTCAAAGGATGAAAGAAATAGACAACAGATCTATAAAAACAAGTATAAAAGACAAAGACCAAATGAAGGGTTGGGGATGGAGGTAATTATATGAGAAAACCAAGGAAGCATTGCTATTGAACAAATCTTGTTCTGAATTTCCTGATAATCAAGGCAGGGAACTGAATGTTCAGAGGGAAATCCATACTGATAATTTATACGTATAAACAATTTCTTAGCATCCCCCCCAAAGACTTTTAAGAATTGGGATTAGCATGTGAAGGTCATCTTAGTTATGATTAGTTAATATACCTTGAGCACCAACTATTTTTCGGACACTATGCCAGGCACTGGGGTGTTTGGAGTTGAGTAAGTTATGTCTTCCTATCTTGGAGCTCACGGTCCGGTCTCACGAGGAGTGGCTGAAGGAAACTGAGTACGTTCAAGCATGGACTGGAAAGAAAGACTTAGGGGAGATGTAATATCTGTCTTCAAATATTTGAAGGGCTTTCATGGATGTGGAAGAGAAAGGAATTAATGTTCATCGAACATTTATGAAATGTCAGGAACTTTACATGGGCTAACTTACTCCTCGTAGCCCTTTTAAGTAGTTATTATTTTCTTTTAGCAGATAAGGAAGTTAAGGCTCTTAGGGATAAGCAATTGGCCTACACACACGCAGGCAGAGCTAGGATTCAGAATTGAAATGCCTCAAGAATGTATGTCTCTGAGCCCATAGTATTTCCATTACCTTCAGTTCCTTACTTTGTGTAATGCCGGAGAATATAGCTGGAATTAATGGACAAAACTTTTTTAAAAACAGACTCTAGTTCTTATTAAGAACTTTCTAAGAAGTCGAGTTGTCTGACAATGACATGGGCTGCTCCTAAAGCAATGAGAACCCTGTCGACTAGAACTGTTCAAACAGAGGCTGAATCATTTATCCATCGTTTACGTTACAGGAAGAGTCCTGCCATGGGAAGAGGTAAGACAGGAGTGGCTTGCAGTGAAGGACACGGAGCTCTTTCAACTTTGAATATCTATGGTTTTATGCTATAGTTTCTATCTAGAAAGTCAAAGTTGGATCTTGCCTTGTCTCTAAACAATGTAAGGGCTGTATCCCTGACTCTTTTACAGACACTCCTACTTTTTCACTGCCTACTCAAGACCGTTTAATTACTACTCATACTCAGAGTGGGTAGTGACTCAGAGAGATGGAAGAAAGGGGAAAGAGATCGTTCTCTGTGCTTATAAAAAGTATTTACTACTGTACAATAAGCCACAAACAACTCTACCATTATCAGAGAGTCTGATTGCCCTTCCTTCTCCTTCAAAACAGACCCCTCTCTAATGGTCCCTTCATGATGTCTTTTCCCCAATTGTGTATGAGGATGACACAGAAAGGAGGAGGCAGGGGACAGTGCAATGAAAATAAATTGACTAATATAGAACTATCTTTAAGAGCCTATTACTCTTCAAAGGTCACAACCAAAGTCTTAAATCAGAGCTTTAAATAAAACCCATAGGATGGCTATTTTGGAAAGGAATGAGGGCTAATATGACAATTTTTTTTTTTTTTTTTTGAGACAGAGTCTCACTCTTTTGCCTGGGCTAGAGTGAGTGCCGTGGCATCAGCCTAGC